AGCTTCTGGTGGCTGTTTCCTTTTCGCTGTGGCCACACCACTTCAATCTCTGCCTCCGTCATCACTGTGGCTTCTGCAGGGAAATTTTTTTCTGCCTCCCTTACAAGAACACTCGTGATGCATGTAGGGCCCACCTGGGTAATCCAGGACAATCTCCTCATCTCCAAATACCTTATCATGTCTGCAGAGTCCCTGCTGCCATAAGGTAACATGAGCAGGTCTGAGGAATTAGGAGGGAGACATATTTGGAGACACTTGTTAGCCTGGGACAGTCAGGCAAAGTGTGTAGTGAGGCTGGTGTGGGATTTATTTGCACCTGGTCTCAGTCTTATTAGACAGTGATAGATCAGGGCTATTATAAAGGGGGCCACACACGGGGTGTTGAACAATATACCCATGAGGTAGATGAATAGAAATGGTACTTTATTAAAACTGCTAGAGTCAAGGTTAATATTTGTTCTGTGAATATTGAAGAAAAGTATATATTTTTTTCTGTACAATATAAAGTTTAATCATGTTTATGAATACCTGATAATTCTTATAATTCTTTCTGAAATTTTGTTTTATCTCTTCAATCTATCTGTTAAAGAACTATGTTAAAATTTTAGGTAATTTTTTTCTTTCCAAATAGTTTATATTTTATGTACTTCTATGTTATATGAGTTGTTTACAATTGTTATATTTTCACTGTGCATTATAAAGTTACATAAACTTTGTAACTTTGTAAAGTTATTATTGTAGATACATAATAACCATTTTATATCATTTCACTTTTTGCCACAAAACATGATACTTTGATTCTAATACTTCTCTGCGTTTCTTCCTAAAATGACTTTTGTCAGAGAAATTTTCTGAACCCCTTTATTTTCAACATTTATTTGTCAATTCATTTATAGATATGCTTCTTACAATCATATCTTTTGATCCGATCTGATGGTACATTTATATTTACTATAGCAAGTAATATATGGTCTTATTTTACCACATTTTATTTTATAATTTATGTTTTATATTTATTGTTTCCTTCTCCCTTATACTTTATAAGTAATTGAAGACGATCTTTTTATTAGTTTTTTAAATACAAGTATTTGTACAATGTACATTTGTCCCATCTTTTTGTTCCATCATGTTTAATATATATAGTTATATATGCATATGTTATACACATTTATTATATATATTAATACATGTATGATCTTACATTTATATACACAGATTAATATACATATATTTAATTTTAAAACCAATGATAAGAATATATTACCACCATTTATGCATTATAAGTATTATGTGAGACTCATAATGCTTCTACTCTCTCTTCCTCCTCCTTCCCAACATGCATTAATTAATTTATTTGAATCAAATTATTTGACAGTAATAATTACTATACTTTGCATTTTCTTTTCCAATAAATATTTTTGATAGGTTAATTGTGTAACAAATGTTAAAAACTGATTAGATATTAATGCTAATTTTAATGAGGATATTACAAATTACCATTTTTAAATGCCTTAACATGCCTGAGATTTTATAATTTATATTTATTCTTTTAGTCAGTTGTAGTACTTTTCAAGTATCAAGTACAATTTTTCCCAAGAAGAGTTAATGGGTTCTGGAATTTCTTAATTTCTTCTCACTTAAATTTTTACTAGATTCAGATTTTTTAAAATTGTAAGTCATTTTTTCTCACAATCCAGTAGAACTGTCTTACTCAAATAATGACTCTTGGGGCACCTGCCTGAGAATCCTTGGAGATAATGTCTAGGAATGTGAATTCTAAATAAGGTTATGAAGTAATTTCAAATTTTAAAAGCTATTTGCATAGAAACTGCTCTAGTTGCTACTAAAACTTAGTATTATAAAAAGAACATTAATATTAACTTGAATTTTTCTTTGTATATTGAATGTAGTTTCTGCCTGTAAAACATTTTTGTATCCTTGAAAACCACAAATTTCAAAAATATTTGTAGATGTAGATTACATTACATTGATTTTGTCTGACTGGCTCTTCTAGAATAGAAACTCTAGTGTTTCATTGATTTCTATTCCTCTTGATTATTACTTTCTTAAATTTCTTCCTTCTCTGCATGTGTATTGGGTTTCTTCAATTTAATAAGCATATATTTTTTGAAACAAAACTTTTACTTTAAAGTACTATAGATTCACAGTGTACTGCTAAAATAGCACAGGAAAAAATCTTTTCTGTGCTTCATCCACATTCTCCCAGTGGTTATACCTCACATAACTGCATTACAATATTAAACCAGGAATTTGACTGTGTGTGCGTGGTTCTATGCCATTTTATCACATAGATTTGTGTGATCACCGCCACCATCAGGATCTAAAACTATTCCATCTTCACAAAGATCTGCCTCCATTACTGTCATACCTCTTATCCCTCAGCACCCCTAGGCCCTGGCAGCTACTAATAAGATTTCAACTGATATAATTTTGTTATTTGAGGTTGGCTTGTTTTACTTATCATAATGCCCTTGAGATCCATGTAAGTTGTTGCAGGTATCAATAGTCATTCTTTTTTATTGCGAGGGAGTGTTCCATAGTTTGGCTGTGCCAGTTTGTTTATTAGCAAGTGTCTTAACTGCCTTATTATCTTCAGCTAAAGTTTCTTGTCCTTTTAATTCTGTACGAATCTCTCAAGTTTACTTTGTAAGTTACTCCACCTCCCCCACCTTTTACAGGATTCATTTTAGTGTTCATTGTTTCCACTGACTTTCTAAATTTGGTACACACATTTTTGCCCTTATGAAGCTAATCTTAATGATCTCAGACTTTTCTCCTCACATAAATTTAGTGGCTCTCAAATCTCTGTAAAAGAATAACTAAATTATATTAATATATTGCTGATAATATAAATTATATCTTAAAAAGTGTTTTTATGTGTCATCAAATCAATAAAGTGTAGTGGCATAAAAAATCGCAGGTCTGGACTCAGACTGCCCCACACAATTTTGAACTGCCTTGTTGAAACTGAAGCACCTTTGATCAGAGTTGGCTGTGGTCAGATTTGCTGCTAGGTGGCTTAATGAAACTGAGATTCACTAGACAAAAGACAGATGGCTAGTCAATGAGGTGAGTAAATATAAACACCAGGTGGGCAAGTGATCACCAGCTATTCTGTTTAGGATTCGGTTGCTTGCTTTTTGTTATCTGAAGGTTTAGTAAACCAGAGCTCAATCTGTGCCACTTGGAATTAATTTAACCATCACCTACCACTGATATGACTGTGTTTAAAATAAGAACCATGATGTATGCAGTGTAGCTAGCAGTCTTTGAGAGGATCATTATTTTTTTATTATCATGAGAATACATTACACTGGGAAGGAAGGATGCACTTGTCTTAGGATGAGTGTTATGGTGCCAGAGTAATTTTTTACCTTGTGTTTGTTGTGGTAAAATAAACAGAACATACACTTTGCCATCTTAATGATTTTTAAGTGTACACTTAAATGATATTAGGCACATTTACACTGTCTGAAAACATTACCATTATTCGTCTATCTCCAGAGCTCTTTTCTTTTTGCAAAATGGAAACTCTACACCCTTTAAAAATTAACTCCCAGTCATCCCACCCTCCCACCCCTAGCAACACCTCTACATCCTGCCCTTATAAAAAGTACCCCAAGCGTTTCATATAAATATAATCATAAAGCATTTGTCTTTTCATGACTGGTGTATTTCACTTAGCATATCATAGCGTTCTCAAGGTTCATTATGTTATGTGTCATAATTTCCTTAATTGCCTTAAGGCTGAATAATATTCTATTGTATGTACGTATCACATTCTGTTTATCCATTCATTCATTGCTGGATATTTGGGTTGCTTCCACCTTTTAGGTACTGCAAATAATGCTACTGTGAAGAGTCATTTTAAAATGTGGGTTTAGAGCATTTTTTCTGACTGAGATATGCTAAAGGTAAATCCATCATCACAAGAGCGCATATAGACTGTGATTGTTTACGAGTGAGCCAGACCTCAAAGTGTGGTCTGAAATCATGAGCTGTAGGTGGAATTAAATAAAAGCTCCTATTGGTTGGAGTGTCACCTACTAAAAAGATGACCTTATGGTGCAGGAACACCAACTCTTTAGCTATAAAATATACGGTCGTCCTGCCTACAAGATTACGACTTTGGTAAGATCTTCTAAATATTTTCAGGATTCCTGAAACCACTGTTTTGTCCAGAGTTACCTTTAACTGTACATATCCTGAACATGAAGGTACTCAAGTCTCAGAAAGCAGTTGTAGGTCTGGAAAAAACTGCTGGGGATGAGGAAAGAGATACAGGGATTAAGCAGGAACTTCCTAAATGGAACACCTCCAGGGAGAATGCAGTGACTTAAAGGGGAAGTGACAAGGGCACATAGGTTGTATGTGGGGGGACGGTTGCTGCCAGTCTCAGATGTGTTTGAGGTCATGGCAAGACTGGGCTACACCGAAGCAGGTAGGGCCAGCCATGTAACCTTGGCTTTGGGGGTTTGGAGCTTTGGGGTTTTGGTGATGCAGAACTGAAATCAGAATAGATTCATGGGTGACTTTATAAGGTTTGGTTTTTGCCTCCCTTTAGTGATGTTTGATAAATGGGTTCTGCTCCAAGTCACACCACTGAGATTAAACAGGGGCCTTAGTTACTAGGTGTACATTCTTGTGTATTTCTGCTTCAACATAGCATTAGCTCAGTATTATATGAATGAATGTGACGAAGAAGTGAGCAGAGTCTACATCTATTCTAGACAAAAAAGGATAACCTTAAAAAATTTTAAAGATTTTATTTATTTATTCTTAGAGAGAAGGGAAAGGAGGGAGAAAGAGAGGGAAAGAAACATCCATGTGTGAGAGAAACATTGATTGGTTGCCTCTTGCACACCCCCAACCAGGGACCAGCTGGCAGCCCAAGCATCAAACCAGTGGCCTTTGATTCATGGGACAATGTCCATCCCACTAAGCTACACCAGTCAGGGCTGCTATGATGTTTTAGGCATTTACTCTGATCTCAAATAAAAGTTGCTGTCCCATCAGCAGTTCACCTAATGAGTGTTGAGACTTTGGGTCTGAGTGAAAAAAAGAAGTTGCTGTTGATATACCAAAGGAGCAGAGATGCATTGGTACTTGTTATTAAACATCCCTTAGATCTTAGGGAACTCTGTAGGTCGAGTTTCTTTAGCAATCCTGTGTCTCTGTGGGGAGTTGTGGGTTTCACCTACATTAACAATACACTAAGAGACAGAGACTTTACAAAGGGTTTCAGCTTCTTCTTATCTCCTACAAAAGAGAATGTCACATCGTACTCAGACATTTCATGCACTGCTTCTGCCCTCGGTGTGAAGACAGGTGTCATCAATTAACCACAGTCTGATTCCTAGGATTGGATCAGTGGCCTAGTGCTCTTCATCTTTTGGGGCAGATGACAGAAGGCATTCCTTCCTCTAGCTGAGTTTCTGACAATGAGACCAGTGGCTCTTCTAAAAAAGAGAGGGCATTCTGACCTGTAGGGGACTGGTTTGTTTAAGTCTGGCAAATGTGACTCATGGACCGGTTTGTCTTGGCCCGGCACATGTGACTCTGTATGGAAAACCTACAGAAGAGAAGTGGTAGGCAGGAGCCAGACCTTCAAACTGAGTTTTCCTGTAACAATCAGGCCTAAAATGCATGAAGATCGTATGGCTTGCTGTTGCTAAAACTCCATCACCCTGGTCTAAAACAACACATGTGTATTGTCTATCTTCAAGGTAACTTCCAAGGCCTGTGTGAATTTTCCCAAGGACAGAGCTAATCGGCTCCCCACAATTCCCTTCTGCATGTTATTTTCATTTTCTTGATTGTACCTAGAATGTAGATAATAATGTTCTATGTAATAGATAATAAATCTTTCTCTGATGTAAGACCCCAGGAAAACAATAAAAGCCTGTCTAGGCAAGGGCCGAGGCGCTCTCCCCTTGAGAGGGTAGCTGGGCCTGTTCCCTTTTTCTCCACAGGATTGGTGTCGCCTGTGCATTCATTCTTGCCATCAGCCACAACAGGCAGACTCTGCTGGCCGGAGTCTGCCACAGTGACCTTTCTTATAACTTCTCTCAGGACATAAATTGCGGTCCAATGGAGATAATCCATTTCTCTTATGTCATTTGGGATGGGACCAAAAGGATACTCATTAGGACTCTAAGGAGCACACTTTTCTGTTTAATACAAACCTCAGAAAGCAGGCATTCCTAATGTCTAAACCAACAAGAGTGGGGAAGTTGCCAAGTTACCATGATTTCCTTCTTGTGGTGATATGCATGGTACGTCATCTGTGAAGACACTCAGATGGATAATATAACTCACTTAAGGAGCTATACCCATTAATACCACTGGTTGGTTCCGTGTGCACCTGTGAGAAGGACAGACATGTACATGGTGCTGATGGGTGATCTTAGACCATAAAGAAACTCCTGACAGATTGTTATAACACTGAGACTAAAAACTGCCTATAAAAACCATAAATTGAATAAGTTATGGAGGAATAAACAAAGGTAAATCTACTGTAAAACTATATTTTTGGCTTATTATACTAACATGCATGCAACTTAGATCTATGGCGTGAAGCAGATAGCTTCTTACATTGCTAAGAGATGCCTAAACTGTTTGAACAACCTTAAAAAATTCCTCTTTATCCATAATCTATGTTCCAATTTCTATATAAGAGTTCAGAGTTCTGCTTTTCACTTTAAGGATATTCTTGTTTTTGAATGGTATAGCAGCTTACTGTCCAACACATCATAACTAGCTTTGTTTATCTGCCAAGCTCCTTCAGATTGATTTCTCTGTCTTCAGGCCATCATGCACAGTTCTGAAAACCCAGGTAGGATTGGCGGCCTTTTCTCTACAGGTAGCCCTATGTGGAACCCTTGGCTTCTGCTGAAATGGGATTGGAGACAGAGGAAATAAGAAAGCTAGTTTGCCACTCAGAGGAAAAACAATATGTTCAGTTGGCAGATGGAAAGGCTTAGATGTCCTGGAGGCAGCTGAGGTATTGGAATCACCAGGCTTGAGCAAGAGCTTAGACTTGGGAATCACCTGGGTAGTCATGAGTATTACGTGGTAATTGGCACCAGAAGGCAGGATCAGTAGGCCCAGGGAAAGTAAGTGGAAAGATTTTGGGAAGGAGGACTGAGTCTTGCAGCAAGACAAGGGAGAGGAGTTAATGAAGGAGATGCAGAAACCAGGCAGAGAGGCCGATCAGTGTCCTACCCCAGTGAGCTTCCACAGGCGCACATGGGTTCAACTTAGCATTTGTGACCTGGTCTCCAAGTGACATCATGCCACTGTATTTTGTGATCATGTAGTGAACTTTTAATTTGATAATGGTACACATTTAAAACATAGCAAATATTTGAATTACTTTTTCTAAAACAAAAGCGTCTTGCATTCCCACTAATTAATAATTGTCTTGGGAGGAGAATCAGAAACAGACTGTTCTAGGAATGGCTAATCAAGACTATTGGAAACATCAGCTGTTGAAGAGAAGCTGAAGGGAGTAAGAACAGGTAAAAAACCACCGCATTCACCAAGGAGACCACTGGGGGTGCTGGAGAGAAAGGCGAGAATATTGTGGCCAAGGAGGTCAAGGAATTAGTACATGGTAGGAGAAGAACACTGGTCTCAAACAGCTTTTTGGGGAGAGTTTGGCAATTAGAACCGCACACATGTGTATCTCTGTGTGTGTGTGCTGCTTGTTTGTTTGTATGTGTGGGTGTAGGTCACTTTTCCTTAGTTTATTTCTTGCCTCTTATGTCTACTTCTCCCAATACATCCTGTTTTCTAGGGAAATGGAATTCTGACTGAAAGGGAGACGTGTCATCTAGTGGTCGCAGTGCCCGAGCAGAACCCTTGCTCTTTCGAGGGCAAGCTGGGGCCATTTAAAGAGTCTGAATCGGGTTACAAGCCAGTATTGTTAATTACCAGTGCCCCTCCCCCTCCACAGCACAATCCGTTCCCAGCCAGCACTCGCACAACACCGGGAACGAAACTCACAGTGGCTCTGACCCTGCGGCTCCTCCCAGAGCCATTGTTGGTGACCTTTCCACCCAGCTCCAAGAAGCTCCGGACTTGTACACTTAGTTCTGCGGAACATTTCTACTGCAGAGCGTTTCCTGAGGGTAGTGGGTGAGAAACCTGTTGCAAAATTCTCAGGTTTTCTTCTCCCTTCCTTTTGTGCTCCAACACCCGTGTTAGCGATATGGGGCCCGCAGGAGCAGGCAGAGCCGGGCTGTTCACTCCTCCTGTAGACAGAGGACTACAGCGCTCCCGGGCTGGAGCCGGAGCCGGAGCCACTCCTGCCTCGCCCACCTGTTTGAATGTCTGTGCTCCGTAGCTTCTGAGCCAGTGCAGTGAGCCCTGGGGACACAGTTGACCCCTCCACAGTACAGCTTTGAATTGCAGGGTCCACTTACGTGTGGGTTTTCTTCAATAAATATGTACAGTATGGCAAATGTATTCTTCCTTATGATTTTCTTAATAACATTTTCTTTCCTTTAGCTTATTTTATTGTAAGAATAGTATGCAGGGTGGGGCAAAAGTAGGTTTACAGTTGCGAGTCAATACAAAACACATTTATTCTTGTATTGCATTTATTAATTCTTGTATTACTTTCCACACGAACAACTATAAGCCTATGTTTGCCCCACTCTGTACATTAAATACATACAGCATACAAAGTATGTGTTAATTGACTGTTTATGTTATCAGAAAGGCTTCCTTCCGGTCAACAATAGGCAATTTGTAGTTAAGTTTTTGGTAAGTCAAAAGTTATATGCAGATTTTCAACTGTGTGCCAGGGATCAGTGCCCCAGTCCCTGTATGGTTCAGGACCAACTGTATTTTTATTTGCACAACGAGTAGTATTTTTCCTCTTTGCTTAAATAAGAGTGACTGTCTTACCACCTATCACATACACATCTGTCCATTCATCATTTGGTTCCCATTCCTCCAGACATTTATTAGGTGCACCCCTTGCCCCATTCCCATCTTAGGGGCAACAAGGGAAACGAGATCCGAACAGGTATAGAATCAAGTGATGTTGGAATTCAGAGCAGGAAAAGGACACATCTGGCTAGCAGCGATTTTCAACCAGTGTACTGCAAGAATATCTAAAACATGCGATACCTGACTATTTAATCAGGGACACTCACCTCTTTTTCCTTAGATTGTCAAATAAAATATAGTGACAACAGCCAGCACAACAATAGCTGTCTGGTGTGCATGATTTAAAATTATACCTATTTTGATTTTTGGTCATATTGGTAAAAAATGTAATTTGTGTGTGTGTGTGTGTGTCGCAGAATTTTAGTAATTATGTGTGCCATGAGATAGAAAGGCTGAAAACCGCTGGCCCAGGGGTAAGAAGAGGCAGGGTCTGATAGATTTTCCATTGAAAGTTAGTCTAGATGATTGTGTTTTCTCTCGGTGGTAAGGGTCGGACCAGGGATCAAGATTATTGGATTTTAAGTCAAATCGTGAATTTCAAGGAGGAAAAATCTGCACATATGCAGTCATTAGTGGTAGTTAGAACACTAGGTCCCATTCAGGATTTTATTTCTTGAAGGATTACTTGCATTATGTCAAGGTGCTCTTGTCCTTTAAACGGTGAACCCATTGAAATGAAACCTGAATACTGCTCTCTGCTGAGGCCTTGAACAAGGTCAACTAACCTGCAGGAACAATGCTAAATTTTCATCAATTTTGTACATTGGCCACGAGAGGGCAGCATTTCACTTCTTTATAAGATTTGATGCTAGACACAAAATGCTGAGTTGTACCTGGAGGGCTTTGTTGTGTGGAAATCTTCAGAGCTTTGCAGTGAAACCCGCCATTTTCTCATTGATCTTCCAAGAGAAGAAGAAATGATTCTATACTTGTCTTACTAATAATCCTTAGGCAGAAAACCAAATAATTTGACCAATCTGTTAGATATCATGGTTGAGAATTTACAAGGACATTGAAAATGTAAATTCTTAATTACAGAGTCCCTAGTGAAGATTTGCTCTTTAATTGCATTTTGGATGCACTATATTTTTAGTTTAT